GGGAGCGCGGCGGCTCAGCCCGCTCCATCTCCGAAGCGCCCGCTGACGTCAATCCCCGCCCGGCCCCTTCCGCGCAGGCGCCGAGACGTTTGAGAGCCGTTCGTCGACCTTGAGCCCTTTAAGATGGGTGGACTTGCTGGCTGGGGAATTCTGGGAGTCGAAGTGCACCCATCTTAAAGGGACCACGGTCGAGAAACTCTGTTTTAGATCTTAGGTACGTTTTGTCCATCGATCTGTCCCTGACTTGGTCCTTTGGGTCCCCCAATGGTGCCATCCCCCTTGCTGCTGGTCGTCCTCTTCTCCTTCCTCCCACTGATGGATCAGGTGCCGTCGAGGCTCCGTCAACTCGAGGCCACCACCTAGGCAGCCCTTCTCCAGGGCATCTGTCCCTGGCTTGTCTTCCAGTGGTGCCCGCATCAGTGCCCGTAATTGACGCCATCCACCCTACTGCTGGTCCTCTTCTTCTGGATTAAGTGAGTCAGTGTTGACTCCAAGCGACCACACAGACCTTCTCCAGGAGGATCGGGCCCTAACCCGGTCCGTCAGGTCTTCCAGCGGCGTCCTCCTCCTCGCTGCTTGAGTCTGCCTACCTTGCTGCTGGTCCTCTTCTTCTTCAGTAACCCATTATGTGCCATCAAGTCAGCACTGACTCTAAGCAACCACATAGACAGACCTTCTCTAGGGTTATTTATCCCCAAACCAATCCTTCGGGACTTCCAATAGTCTCCCCCCATTGCCCCTATATCTGAGGTGCACACTCTTCTTTCATTCCACCTTGCCCAGCATCATGGACTTCTCCAGCAGACTTTGCCATTGCATACACCAACTTTTTAACCAAGATCCGGAGAATGCTTTAAGACTTCTATCTGTGATACAGATTGTAAGACTGAAACCCCACCTTTCTTCCAGGACCTCAGGAACTTAGATGGGGGTCTCTTATCAGTGTTATCCCCACAAACAAGTGACGTAACTTGGGAGACTTTGAATCAGTCATCCAAGATCATGCTTCATGCTCGAGGGTCAAGTAGGCCTTGGTCTTCCCCAGTCCAAATCCAATCCTTAACCGTAATTCCACAGTTCTCTTTGTAGGTTGTCATCCAAACCACCTGGTGGTCACTTAGGCAGGAGATGGTCCTCATAAATAAGCAGAGAAGCACTGTGGTTATTTCTGAGTCCAATTCTTTTCTTCTAAGGACTTGTCAAAACCTGAGTTGAGGAACTGGAGGCATTTTGACTGAAAACTGGCTTTGATAGAAATGCCTGAAAAACTGCAGAGTGGGGCACTTGGTAAGCTTGAAGCAACTCAGAGAAGATCTGTTCTAAAAGTTTAGAGGCTGTTGAGAAAGGCACCCTTGGTGGCTCTTGTGGAACTGGAACACAGGTAAAATGTCCATAATGAGAAATGTAATGCATTGACTCTGATCATCCCAATGGTTCCATCCAAACTTCGTATTCAGATGGTTCAAGGACAGTAGGCTCTTGGTTAATTTTTTCTTTTCTTTTTTAGTGCCTTCGAGTCAGTCGTGACTCCTGGCAACTGCCTGGACTAATCCCTGTGGTTTTCTTGGCAAGACTGCAGAAGCGGCTTTCCTCTTGTCTCCTCCTTCCTAGGGCTGAGAAAGAGGGACTGGCCCAAGGTCACCCAGCTGGCTTCGTGCCCAAGACAGGACTAGAACTCAGAGTTTCACGATTTCTAGCGTGGCGCCTTAGCCACTACACCAAACTGGCTCTTTGTTCTGAAATACCAATTTTTAATCCTTCTTTTGAGCCAGGAACTGTGCTGCAAAAAAGACCTGGATGATCAGGGAGACGGTAAGACCGGGACCAACCCCAAGGAAGAGGGTATTCAATTTCGAGACATTCATGAGCAGAAAACAGGTTCATCAAAAGGATTGTCCACCCATTAACTGAAATTCAGACCTTTATTATCAGTAAATACAAACATGAGCGTAACTTGATTCTGAGTAGCAGAGTCTCGGCAGAACTGAATCAGGCCTCCTATCCAGCTATTTGCTCCTATCCAGCTATTCCAACTAGACAGTCGGAATAAAAACGGCCCTGTCCTGTTTCCCCCTTGAGGTCCCAGCTGAGGGCAGCCGAGGGCTCCTTTGAGGAAGGGCTCCACTTTCACTTTGGGGAGTCCAAAGTGGGATGCCTTACCCCATCCACCCAAAGGATCTTCCCACCAAGACCTGTTTGCGGAAACCTTGAGACAGGCCAGTGATTTCTCCCCAAGGTCCACAAGGGGCAGAGAGGATGGGAGAAGGTACCTTTTTTGATGTCCATGCTTCCTTTCCCAGGTGTTTTGTCTTATCGGGTGGCAAATCGGGCTGCAGCCAAAATGACCCCGGGAAAAGAGGCTTGGGAGCACGTGACAGGCAGGGTGAAGTTTCTCCTTGCCTCCTTGGCTCCCTCCGGGCTGGGACCTCATGTTTGCTAATGTGTTGTCCTGTCTTAAGCATGTGAAAGAAACCTAGCATTCGTTTGATGATCTTCTCGATACACCCACCCGTTTCAATCCACTCCTTAAAACTGCCAATGCAGTAGAGCGACTGATGATTCTGGTGGCCCTCTGTTGTCTGCACACCTCTTCTACTCAGAGAAGTACCATAGGCCAAGGCTGAGGTGGCTGAAAGACTCAGCGGCAAGGTGGCATTACCAGAGTTTTGTGGAAGGAATCCTAGGAATAGGGTGAAGGGAAGAAGAGTCAGGCTAACCTCCAAAGCTTTAAGGCTTCACACCACTTAAACGAGTCACCAAACCCAGTGTTCTTCTAGGTATGTTTCCTCCTAGCTGGGAGGGATACATGCATCAGAACAGTGCAGCACTTCGGATCTATCCTCCAAAAAGTTGCTTTGGATGGTGGAACTTTAAGAGATGTGGACTTCAACTCCCAGAATTCCCCAGCCGGCATCCATACACCTTCAAGCTGCCTAGGTTGGGAAACGCTGCCTTAAAGCACGTCTCCCAGGCGCTAGGTTTGCACAGCCATCGCCTCTGCAGCGCTTGGAGTCAAATCTGACATGTTGCAATCCTAACCTACACCTCCTTTTCTATGCAACTGAAACATGTTTGAGCTTCTTTACAATTTAAAATTTTTAAAAAATACATACTACGGTTTAAAAAGGTTTACAAGTGTCTGCTGTGTGTATCTGTGCATGTACAGATATCAAGTGGACGGAATGCATAGTAGAAAGTGCTCGAGTTCTTAACGCATACATGTAGCCCTGAGTCCAAATTGAAGTGGATCCACGGAGCAAAATCATAAACCCTGATCTTCAATGAGTGCAACTGCTCTTTTAAAGAGGAATGGCGATTTCTTTCAACCTGGCTTCTTAGTTACTCTTTTAAAACAATACTTCCACCCATCCTAAGCAAATTAAGGTAGGATGGGGAGATCAAATGGGAAATATAAGAAAATGAGACTTGGATAACCGTCAGCAGAGCATTTCTTTCTGTACACTGGTGCATTTCAGAAACCTGTGCATATGCCCTTGGTCAAGACATCTCAAAAGAAGATGCAAATCAGTTTGTTAAAAAAAGGATGCATTTAAAAATGCTGCCTATCTTTTCAAACGAGGGCTGGGAGGATAGGACTGAGGCCAGATTTTTCCCTACTTGGTTTAGTATTCTTTGAGTAATTTCCATGTCTGCAGATCATTCTGCCCACTCCTCTGTTTTCTTTTCCTGGACAGGGAACCTGCTGCTGTGCTGAGCAGAGGGAATCAGAATGTGACCCCTTGCTATCCTTCCACCACCAATGGCGCTCTGCTGTGCCAGGCAACATCTCCTGTTGGTTCAGTCAGCAAGGACGTGCTGGTCGGGGAAAAAAGAGACTTGTAGCCTAATGATCTGGAGGGTGCTAGGCTGGGCAAAGGGGACAATAGGATGTTCAGGGTCAGGAATTGGTTTGCACTGCCAAACTGAGTTGGCAATTCACGCCTTTCATTTTTACTTTTCAGAACTTTGTTTTCTCTGCCTTTCGGGGTGCGGGTGTGCGTGCGAGATGAAAAGCCTCCTGTTAAGCAACAGGACTTGCAAATGTTTACAACTTTAGTACAGATCACCCAGAGATCTACTTGTCACTTCTAATCTATCTTCTGCCTTTGCTTCAGCTCCTTTCATGCATGATGCTCCAGAAAACGGGGGGGACCAAAAAAATCTGTTCAATGGCCAGTTTGGGGTCTTTAAATCCATATTCCCGGCACATCTTCTTATAAATAAGGAAGAGAGCTGGTCCTTCCTAGGTGGCTGCTTCAGGGAGCAGATTGCAGGAGTTATTATAAGATCAGAATGGGAGACAGACAGTTCTCATTCCAAACGCTCACGAAAGTGGCAAATGGGCCGTAAGGAGAGAAACCAATACCCTTAAATGGGGACTGTCTCCAACAATGGCCTTCATCTGTGTCTAGACTGTCCTTTTTCCTGTTTTCAAAAACTCATCTGAACTGTCGTTAGACAACCCTGGCCAATCATGCTAAAATCAGAGAACCAGCTTTGTACAGAGAAAATGAACGGGGAGAGAAACAGACACCTGAACGTCCTCCCTCCCTCCCTCCCTCCCCGGGTTCTGTAATCCAAGGAAGACTATTTTATGCCAAAGCTCGAAGAACGCAGGACAGAAGTTTTGATATATGGCTTTTCTACCTCTAAGGGGTAGAAAGACCCACAGATAGCAGAGTGCAGCAATCGTAAATAAGGAGGGGTGATTGGCGGAGAACCAGGAGGGCGACTTGCAGATCATGGCTGTCCCCCCCGCAAGCCGTATTGCAGCGGAAAAAGGAAGTGTGGCCTGCAGCAGGACCGACAGGAAAGAAGGGGTCCGCGTCATCGCTTTGCATACGTTCTGCCAGTGTTTTTATTCAAGCCTCCTCGAGGGGTGGGGATTTTGCTTCCAACCGTGGGGGAACGCAGCTTCGTTCCCGTTGGCCCGGATCGGTTCAGGACAGTTCCAGCAGCCCGGCCTGCAGAACCAGAAGGCAAAGGGGGATGGATGAGTTGAACAGAGGAAGAGGTGGGAAAATGGGGAGGGGGCTGCCAAGGGCTGCTGTCTCCACCTTTCAGGAGCTCCAGCCAGCACGGCCAGTCGGGATGGATGGACGGGGCAGCCGCAATCAAGCCCCTGGAGGGCCCCGGCCAGAAGTGCCAGGCTTGTGCTTTGCAGCCCAAACATAGTGTTTTGAGATTTATGAGGAGATGTGACAGCACCCCTGGTTTTTGAGGGGGGAAAACATGAGAGGGTCTGTACCGGCGGCAGACTGCATTGGCATGCTCTTGTTGAAGGAATGAGTGCGCCTCGGATTCATGCGGCAGCCGTCTTTGCCCATCAGGTGCACCTTCCAGGCCTGCAGGGAGGTGGGAGGGTGGGGTGGGGGAAAGAGGAAAAAAGGCTCAGATGGTTTACAGCGACAATGAAGAGGGATGAGGTGGGAGTAGGACTGCGAGGTGATGGGCTCACAAACCCGCAGTAGGGCGGGGGCTCAGGGGCAGCTAGACTTCCCCACAACCCCCCTTTAGGTAGTCAGGCACCGGCCATCATCGGGTCGCCTAGGACAGGAGGAGGCCCCTTCCGCTGTTTCTCCCCCCCTTTAATCTGGCAACTGAGGGCTTCGAGGAGCAGCCTCCACTACGCCAGGGGTTGGGGGGGCGCCCCTCACCTCCTCTCCGGGTGCAAAATTTTCATGGCATAACGGACAACGATTGGCCACTTTTTCAGGTTTGGCAGCTGGAAAGAGGAGAGGAAAGCATCAGACGGAGTGGGGGGGGCGTCCCGGATGCAGTACATATGCAACCTAAGTGGGTTTCCTTGCAAACAGGAGCTCTGTCCCTGGGGACGGTAAAGCAAAGGAGCGCCTTTGGGGCGCCCCTGAAGAACCATCGTCAGGGCTTCTTCCTGCCTCCAGACGTCTGCGAGCAGAGCGAGATTCCACCTGCTAGGATGTGCAGCGTGTGACCGTTAGGGCCCTGGAAGCTTCCGCTCGCCTTGGGCTGCAGGAAGTCACCCCTTTGGATGAAAGGCTTGCACGGGGGCTGCCTTGCCCTGGCAGGTAATCCAGGAAAAGACGCAGAACCTTAACCGAGCTGGCAGATAGGCTAAGCTTGGGTTATTTTGGCTGTCAAGGAGAGGGGTCCCGAATACACTCTCCCTTGCTCTCCCCAAAGCCATCTTGGCAAACGCAGATTCCATGATGCTTATTTGCATCATGTGGGGCCGCTGGTATAGGAAACACTGAACATGGGCTCTCCATTTTTCTCTCTGGCTTAATTGCCTTCATTTTAGCAGTACAGGTGGTCCTCAGTTAACGGCCATTCAAACTTACGACAGCGCTGAACAAGTGGTATTTATGACCGGTCCTCAAAATTCTGGCCATCGCAGGGCCCCCGTGGTCACATGATCATGATCTGGGTGGTCGGCCACTGGCCTGGATTTCTGACTATCACAGCATCCACAGTCATGTGATCATGATTTGCAACCTTCCCTGGCGGCTTCACACAAGGAAAGTTAATGGGGAAGCCAGCAGGAAGTCAGGGTCATGTGAGGTCCTCGCTTAATGACCTGGGGTGATTCACTTAACAACGGTAACTGGGGACTGCTGGAACTGCCATCACTAAGTGGTGTGGTCACATGACATCACGCTTTATGACCGTTTTGCTTAGTGATGGAAGTTTCAGGCCCGATTACCATCATTAAGCGAGGACTACCTATATACAAAGCATCATAAGAGAGCAAGTCTACATTAGAGCCACCCCCAATGTGAAGGCTCAGGGCCACATACAGTCCCCAAGTTCTCAGGTGCACTCTCTTACAGTCCTCCAAAAATTACTACCCAATTCATGTTTAATGCAACGGAAGGGGGAAATTATTAAATGCTGAACCAAAAGAATCACGGCAGCTATGTTGACTTTTAAGCAAAATCTATCCAAGGAAATCCAATGTTTTTCTTTAGCCTATTGTTTGGAGTGCAGCCCTCTTCCTGGAAGAAGCCGTGCATTCCTCACTTGGCGTTTTCAAGCTGTGCGAATGCACGTGCAGAGAGAGAGAAAGAGAGAGCCAGTCCCTCCCCCCTGCCCCGTCCACGATCAAGCCTTGTCCTTCAACTCAGAAGTACTTACGATTGCAAGCCCTCCCCTTGACGTGTCGGGGCAGCTCATCCTTCGGCAGGGCCTCGCAGCAGCGGGAACACTTGCCAAAGTTATCCTTCTTTTCACACTCAGTCAGCAAATGCTCTGTCAGGCTGGCAATTTCGACCACCTGCCCTAGCAGGAAGAGAAGAGTTTCTGGCCTGAGAAGAAGGCCTAGGGAGGCTGGCAGGCTGGCAGAAGAAACCCTCCCTCCCCAAATCAAGCAGTGCCAAATCAAAGCAGGGCTCAGGAGGTCTTGGTCAGCCACTAACTTCTACACAGCACTTACTGACCAGCATTTGGGAAGTTATAACCTCCCCAAATTCCTAGAACAGTTTGCAAATATGTTTGATCTTAAAAAAAAAAAAAAAAAAAAAAAAAAAAGAAGGCACTGAAGAAACCTGTAGAGCAGTGTTTCTCAACCTTGTCAGCTTTAAGATGTGTGGACTTCAACTCCCAGAATTCCTCAGCCGGGATTCTCGGAGTTGAAGTCCACACATCTTAAAGCTGACAAGGTTGAGAAACACTGCTCTACAGGTTTCTTCAGTGCCTTCTTTTTTTTTTTTTTTTTAAAAAAAAAAAAAAAAAAAAAAAAAGAAGGCACTGAAGAAACCTGTAGAGCAGTGTTTCTCAACCTTGTCAGCTTTAAGATGTGTGGACTTCAACTCCCAGAATTCCGGCTGAGGAATTCTGGGAGTTGAAGTCCACACGTCTTAAAGCTGACAAGGTTGAGAAACTGCTGTAGAGGGGACAGGGAATGGCCTCGAAAGACAGGAGGAAGAGCTGCTACCAAGTCAAAGGTCAGATGAGAGGGGCTTGAGCCCAGGCCAAGAAAATAACTTGAGAAAAAGCCCCTCCCCAGGTCACATGAAGATAAAGTGAAGGAGGGGGGAAGCACATTTAGACTTGCAAGGTTCTGTTGCTATAGCTGTTTCAATAAAAGTAGTCCTGACTTATACGGCATTAAGTTCCTTAGTCTGGTCTACCTTGTTGGGCTGACAGAGCCTGAATAAATAAAAACATTAAAAAGGTAGACATTCTGTCTGGGTTCAGTGTCAGTGGATGGCATTGGCCAGAAGTGGGGGATGAAGACACCTGTCTGTTGTGTCACCTTCTCTGGAAGAGGAATGAGTAGTGACTGTCACCTGGGGCTGGGAAAGACTGGGAAAGTAATTGAAGGGAGTTGGACATAACCAACTGATACAGAAAACAGGCTGGTAACCGGCAGCTCAATTCAGGCTGTGGATTTTCTGAACAATTTTGACTCGCAAATAAGGAAATGTTACTGCCATTTTGAAGATTCTGTTCTTTGCCCTTAATCCATACACACCATACACGCTCTCCTTGTCTAGCAACCGCAATCTGTTCCTTAAATCGGAAGTGAAATGGTCATTGAGCGAACGTGTGACTTAGAGATGCTGCAAAGATCACTGGTTGCTGCTGTCTCACTTAGATAAAGTTCTCTTGGACAGCTACGCCAGCATTACTCTCACCCTGCCATGCCCTGTTGTCAGGTGCATGAAATTTGGTCATAAGTGTGCACATTTGCCAGAAAATGTTTTTTTAAAAAATTACCGTCATATTTGGGAACGGTCACTAAATGAGGTAGCTGCTGAACGAGGAGTGGCTGTATAAATCTTGCTTTGTATCTTGCCATGAAGGGCTGCGAGGGTATCAGTCTATTCTATGGTAGCAAATAAGGAAATGTTCACCTGCTTGCAGAAATCGCATCTGGTCAGCATGGGGCAGTGTTTCCAGTAATGGAGATCCAGCCCTTCCTCTGTGAAGGATTCATCTCTTTCACCGCAAAAAATGCAGAGGCTGACAGGGAGGAAGAACAGCAAAAGCAAAGATTAAGGCACGGGAGCTGCTGGGGCCCCAGAGTTAGGATCCTCTAAAAAGATGGGTCCAAAGCCACAAAACGTCAATTCCAACATTTCTTGTTTGCAGGTCCAATTTTTTTCTTGCTGCCATCTTTACAAGCAAGGATGCCAGTTGGGGAAACTGAAGGTGAGCAGGTATAGATTTCTGTTGCTTAATTCACGAGAAATGCAACATTTCAAGGCTTAAAGAATCCGTGTGGCTTTTTAAAACCCTCCCTAAGGGGCCACAGGGCTGGCAAATTGTCTCTTGGGTTGTGTTTCTGCACCCTGAGTTTCCAACTGGGTGTACAAATCACACTAAGCCCAAATGTGAATTGTCGTGTTTGGGCTTGGTGTGATGTGTGACCCTAGTTAATGTCGTACTATCTGAAAACCCCCTCCCTATTAAATCTCTTCTTTGGGGAGGGGAGGAATGCTTGGTCTTACTGCCCACCTGCACCTTTCACACTTACTTGTCCAGGTAATTTGCGACTGAAGAATGATCATCGGGAATATCCGCTGTTACGGGCTGCGCCGCCTTTTTGGGAGTTTCAGCTTTCAGGAGAAAGAAAAAGTAGACTGTTCAACCACTGTATTGGGGACTCTTCACAGGTGGGAGAAAGAAAGCCCCACCACTGGGTAAGCAGACGCCCCACGGTGAGACCTCTCATTCTGCAAATGCTGGAGCTACTGTGGACGTTGTGCTTTCATCAATTTCTCCCACGACTACTGAAGGCAAAAGGAGGGAGTGAAGGACCTCTGATGTTATGGCTGATGGTGGGGGTGGGGAAGGGCAATGGGGCAGAAAAAAAACCCAGTAAGCAAAGGATTGCACTGATCTGGATGGCTCTTTGTCTCCCCTCAGGACCAACAGAAGCTGAATGCAATTCAACAATCCTAAAAACTGTTTCTGGAAGGCTCTCCTTTCAGAGTCACCTAGATGAAATACCAGTATGACCCCTCCCTATTTTTATTAGAAATAAGTCGGAGTTGAGTTTCTTGGGAAACGCTTCTCAGATGCTCTACAGAAGCCTTAAAAAAAGAAAAGGTACCTTGATTCTTGGATTTCTGGAAATCGCTTTCTTTTTCCTAGAAAGAAAGGAAGAAAGTCAGGCGAGCCGATGCAACAGAATCACTAAACCCCGGATCTTTGCAGAGAGCCAAGTTATCAAGAAGACAGTGGATGACTGGAAGGGCAAGTCCAACAAAAATGGAGCTGCCAGAAAATAACTGCAGAAGCCCCTGCAAAAACCCAGCTTTTACTAGCTGATGGTATGGGAGAGGCCAGCTCCACTCAGGCCCCATCCTTTGGCTTGAAGGATCTCAGGCCAGAAAAGCCCTTCCGTCAGATCACAGAACCGTTGCTGTTGGAGATGTTCCTAATTATTAAACTGGAAGCATCTTTTTTTTCCCTCTCATCTCGCCCACCCCAGCCACTGCAATTACAAGATCCCTAAGAGAGCCCTCAGGAGCCAGTATAAAAACCTCTGACCCGAAAAAAAAACTCGCTAGTGCCCGAGGCAGCTGACTCTGCTGCTCCTTCCATGAGGAAGTTCATCTTAATGTTTAGCCCAGATTTGTTTTCTACCCATTAACTGTATCTGTCCTGCTGGAGCAACAGAGACCCTGCTCTGTCTCCATGCAACATTGGCATCTATAGAGGCACCCCCCACCCTACGTCCTCCGAGCTATGCTCTTGCTTTGGGTCTGTTTCCCTTCTGGATGCTTTGGGTCTGTTTCCCTTCCTTCGCGGGAGTGCCAGTTTGGCCGCGCAGAAAGGCAATATCCCCAGGGAGGTGGGCAGGACTGCCCCCTCTTCTGGCACATCACCCTCCCTTTGCCCTCCCAGGGACGGAACTGGCTTCAGAGGTTCCAGAGTTGGGAGAGGTCCTTTGGGCCACTGAACCCAACCCTCTCTATGCAGGGAAAGAATCCGCTTGAAGGCATCCGAAGGGGAGCCCACCTCGTTTCTGGGTCACTGGTGCCCTGGTTAGAAACACTCTTATGGCTAGGATGCTTTTTCCAAACATTCAACCAGCATCTGCTTTCCTCCGACCAAAGACGGCTCTTCTAGGCAAGGGCCAGTGACACAATGATTCTCTGCTGGCTCCAGGGCTGCCCTTGGGGGGTGGAGCTCTTTTGGCGAAAGGGCTGCGGGAGCTTTAAGGGACTGGAGACACTCTGAGCATCTCGTTTTGCCCCTTAAGCTCCCCACCTCCAAAATGCAAAATCTTTGCCCCCCCCCACATCAGCAGGCCAGGAAAGGGGGGCAGCTCCTGGTTCACCAGGGGCACAAGAAACCTGTTTGATGAGCAGCTGACATTTTGGGGCTCCTCTGAATAACAGCAGGAGGCAGGAGCCGCCCTTCTCAGCCTGGCACCCTGCAGATGCGCTGGACGACAACTCCCACCGCATCGGGTAAGATCCAACCTGGCTGGGGGCGATGGACGTTGCGTCAGGGAGTCTTTAAAACCCCTGGGATACCTTGGCGGCCTGGGCTTCTGTCTGCATCTCCTTCAGAGCTGCCAGCTGACCGTGCAAGGCCTTGATCTCATCTTTCTTTTCCTTTTCGGCTTCGTCAGTTGCTGTCTTTCTCTGGGCCTGTTCAAACAACCAGCTGACAGCCACTGGAGCCCACAGTCAGCATCATGCAGAGTGCTGCAGGCTCCCGTTCCCAACCCTGAAACATTACCGCCTGCTGTAGAGTTAGGACACCTGATGTTTCCAACTTGCATGGTAAAAAGGATGCCCATTGGGGCAAATTTTGGAACTGTCCTGCTATTTATTGATAATTATTATATACTGCCTGGCTCCCTAGATGCTGGGTGGTTTACGGCAACTCTGACTGGCGTAATTCAATCGGTTAGGGAACAGGAGCAGAAGTTGATAGTGAGAGCGCAACAGAATGTATGGAACTCACAGTTGCACAATGGGGTGACTGTCACTCTCTTCAACGGCTTTAAAGGGAAATGGACCGTTGATGGCAGACATTATACTGAAGTCATAGAGCAAGAAGGGGATATCTCACCAATTCGTCTTGATTAGTGAATTTTGTAGAATATAGCTAGCTGGGTATATAGGTGGAAGAGGAAGAGGAGGACAGATACTGGCCCCCTGCAGCCTCTTCTGTCTCACAAACTAAATGTTCTGACCCCAACCTTGAAGATGCTCCCTGAATCTAAGATATTTATTATTTATATAGGAAGTTTTCTTGTAATGTCTTTTCATTTGTATTTATTCTATTTTAACTAACATTTATTCTTCTTACTGTAAACCACCCAGAATCGCTCTGCAGTGAGATGGGCGGTGACAAATTTGAAGTATAAATAAACGAACAACAAACAAACTGGCTATGGGAGGAGGGTTAAGTTTAAGAACTGGAGCTGCCTCCTCTTCTTCCTTCTTCATCCCCTTTGCGGGTAACAAAGTTGGGCTAGGAGAAACTAACTAAAGAGAGAAGCTCTTTGGACGTGCTACATCTTTGGATTTCTGAATGGTAAGGATCAGGCGAAGGATGTTCAGAATGAACCACCCGGAGCCTCAAAACATCCTCACCAGCAATGCATTTTCTTGGGCTTAAGGGCAGAATTCCAACCGTTGCTCCGCCCTTACCCTCAGTTCAGCCTCGGTGAGCCTGCCATCTATTTTAGCGAACCCGTCAAATAGCATTTTGTACAGCACATTCTTGCGCGTGTTTGCATCATCAGGGGGGAGGTAATCCAGGATGTCGTCTCGGTGCTGCCGATACATATCCAAGATGATCCGGAGAGCTGTTTCCCGCACCTCGAAAACACGGTGCTCCAGAGCTCCAGTTGCAAACTGAGAGGCAAGGAAGATGGGAAAGCTTTCAGATCACGCTCAAATTTGAGAACGCATCATCATCGTCATCATCATCATCATCATCAGGGATCTGGAGTGGCAAGGAAAAGGGGGTTGTGGAGATACTGGGGGACTCACTCCTGTGGCCCCACCATATGCCACAGAAGCGTTGTACAGGGAGTCCCCAGTTTAAGAACGAGATCCATTCCCAAGGTCTGCCTTTAAGTCGAATTTGTATGTAAGCTGGAACAGTATGATTGTATAATCCTTCGTAGTGTTGTGTAATGTACTCGAATCAACGTGCATTTAACTTGAATTTTGCTACAATAGGCTCCGTTCTTAACTACAGGTAGTCTACAAACTGGGCGTTCTTAACCTGGGGACTCCCTGTAACTGCCTAAAAAAAGAGATTTGGTTAAGATGGGGTAGAAAGTCTAAAAGCAGAGAGCCTGTGTCATATTTTGCCGGGAAAGTCCTCTATCTGGCTCAAGCCTGTGAACGAAGGTCAGAAAAACAAAATAAAGGAGGAATGCACAGGGCCCCAGGATGCCTGGGTCCTCACCCGCATGACGTTGTCCACGGTGAAGCCCGAGTTCTCGGTGCCCAGATCTTTCAGCAAGCGTTCCACCAACTCCACCTGGCTCATGGCAAGGTGTGTAGGGCAATTGGGCCTCAGGGGCTGAACCAAATGGGCAGGTATGATCTGAAGAGGCTTCACTTCATTGCAGAGGGCCATCTCCTGGACAGAGGGAAAAAACAGGCAGGGTATTGGCTGGCAACCGTGATTATTAACGACCCAGTTGTGAGGGACTTTTTTTGACAAAATCACATTAAAGCATTTTATTTGCTTCAACTTATAAGCAACTGTAATTGCAGGTTGAAATGGCAGCTAGCTGGACATCCTTGGTCCACAAGAGATGTTCCCTCTGGAGTCTTAACCTAGCACAGTTTCCCTGCAGGTAGATTTACCTGGATGAAGCTGGCAGCTGCCATCCGAAGGCGGGCAGAGGAGTCCCCCGTCCTGGAGAGGAGGTTGGGAAAGGTCCGTTCCACGCAGAAAATGGTCTCCTGCTTCCCCAGTTTGTGCTTGGGGATGTACTGCGTGATGCTCATTTTTAGGAGCTTTAAGGAGGCATGGAAAACCTGCCGTGTCAAAACAACAAAAAGCAGCAGCAGCAAAGTGAGTCATTTCAACAAGCCCAAACCAACCGCTTTTCTTTCTAGTGCCAGCTGGAGGAAGCAGGACACGGATCACCTGGGAAAGCAGGGAAAGGTTCGGGGAGCCAGGATGGTGGGATGAAAAGTAGGAGTCAGGTTTTCTCAACCCTAACCCAGGGGACCGCCCCCCCCCCCCCCCCCCCC